CAAGAGCAAGAGCTTTCGCCAGCAACGGCCTCTCTGGACTTCAAGCCCACTTTACACAAGTGTCCAGTTCTTTGTGGACCCATATAAAACAGCCCATTTGATGTTAACCCTAATAATCCAAATCCCTAATCCCAATCAATCTCAATCCTAATCCTAATCCTAATCACATTTATAATCTAACTTGGGATCAGTTAAATTATAATTAAGTATCCCACAAGAGTCAAACACAAAGCTCCATAACATTGCAAGAAGAAAATAATAAAACAATTAAAACAATAAACAATTCATTTCTGGCGTCCCACAATTTTAAAATTTATTTTCTTTTGTCTTATGATTGACAGTGTTATAGTGAGTTAGATATTTAGTTATTAAGAAAGAAAAAAAATCGGTAAAAATTAAACCGGCACTATCGTTTATATGCATAATAATTTTTCAACACCGTACTAAAACGCCATCCGATAAGCAGAAGTTTCTTAGTTGTTTCCTAAAATAATAAAAAAATGTAAAACCGAGACGATAACATAACTGGAATCTTTGAATAGAAAACTAGTGACACCATATCCAATGAACAATGAAAGTCAGTAGCCCACAGGATTTAGATCCTCTCCTCAGCCAAATGGCCCAATGGAGAGAATTATCCTGACCAAGTATTGTGGGTTGTTGAATTTTCATCGAACTATTATAATTAATATAATTTTAAAGAGATTATCTTGTTTGTAGCCGTTGAATAAAAATTCAACAACCGACAATACTGACCTATTTAACGGCCCACAATACTTGGTCAGGAGGATCCTCTCCATTTGCTCAAGAGAGGATCCAAATCCTAACCCACGGGCCACGACCATAATAACCATATTTAATTATAATTAAAATGTAGTAATTAATACTTTGAACTCTTATACTAAAAATACAACAGCAACCGATACTTATATTAATATACGAAAGTTCGAAGAGTAAATTACATTAGATACACCAATAATTCTAATAACTTGTAAGTAATAGATATTAACGTAATACTATTAATTATGCAATGGTATACCACCTTGCTAGAATAGAACTTGAACAAGCTAGGAAAATTCAGCTTTTATTAGAAGTGCTTTTAGGAAAAATGTTGTGGATGTTATATGTGTTTGCTGATGGCCTTTAAAATTGAGCTTTTCCTTCCATCTTAGCTACAACTAGAATTCTTCTCCTTCAGTTAACTCAAGTTGTTCTGTAGTCTTGCTGGTGTTTATCGGCCAAGAGCATGTAAGCCCAATGGGCTGTAGTTGTTCTGATTCGGGCTGTGCGCTATTTCTCTTATTTTTGCTCAAAAGCACTTTTAGTAGAAGTAGAACGTAATAGAAACTTTACAAAACTTCCCAATGTTTCCTGAAAATTTAAAAAATTTCACCAAAATTTTTAGTGCTTTTAAACTCGTAAACACTTCAATTTTTAGTTATCTGAAAGCCTTTTTTACTTCTTTCGTGACTCAAGTGCGGAGATTGTACTGAAGCCAATATTTACTATCATATTCGAAACTATTACTAGACATGTCTCAATCCTTGAGGCAATGAGGATATTGAGGAGGTGATATGCCCCCTAGTCACACGGCTAGTACACTGTTTGGTCACATCATAACTTTGGTTTTATGTGTTTTTCTCTCTCAATTAAAAGGTGTCCCAAAAAAAGTGTGCACCTCCCTTTATTTTAAGGGGAAAAAAATGTGTCTCTCATTTACTTCCAAACCTAACTTTGATGTCCAAATGGAGCATGTAAAATATTGGCAAATGCTAACCATGATCTCGGAATATGACACCAAACCACCCCTTGTGCAAATGTGTTAGATTGTGACTCGTTTCAAATAATATGTTTTTAATTACATACGCAAGTTAAGCTAATTGGTTCAGTAATTGTGTCAGTTTTTTTTTTATGCTTGAGTTGAAATTTCTTTTCTAATACAAAGTAGTTCAGAATATTATTATGGAAAAAACAAACGCATCAATAATTCACTTTAGTCCTGAAAATCTAAACTGTAGTGTACAAAATAATAGCTCATACTTCTAAACCCTTTCCATATAAAATTGTCTCTAAAATGTGATCTACTTTGTCAAATCGTTTTGGTGAAATATAGGACTTTGTTTTCCTGGTCGATGTAGAAAAGTAGTCACTACTACGGTGCACTAATAGTTTTTGAACAATACTTGGCCACTCAAAAGATGAGTAGGGGTTTTTCCTCAAAGTTGTTCGTTGGTGATTCTAGAATTTCATGTTCATGATCCGAACCATTCATATTACAAATCACTCTATAAAGATCACCTCTGCAAAAAAAAAAAAAAACAATTAAAATAAGGTCGTTTAGTTATCGAATTGTAAAAGCAAATGAATGGAATTGGTGAAAGCATTACAAACCGTCTATATATTTTGCTACAGTAAATTGACTAAATGATCATTCTTTTAATATTTTTTTTGCAGATATGATCTTTACAAAGTAATTTATAATATAAATATTTCTAATTATAAGCAAAACACTCTGTGATTCAATCACGAAGAATTTTGAATAAAAATTTCTACTCATTGTTGAATAGCCAAGCATTGTTCGTAATTTTTTTGACAAATCTAAACGCTTGGTGATGATGTCGATGCACATAAACAAACACTGAGAAGATTTAAAACTTGAGAAACGTAATTGAAGAGTATAGCACAAGAGCAAGAGCTTTCGCCAGCTAACGGCCTCTCTGGACTTCAAGCCCACTTTACACAAGTGTCCAGTTCTTTGTGGACCCATATAAAACAGCCCATTTGATGTTAACCCCAATAATCCAAATCCCTAATCCCAATCAATCTCAATCCTAATCCTAATCCTAATCACATTTATAATCTAACTTGGGATCAGTTAAATTATAATTAAGTATCCCACAAGAGTCAAACACAAAGTTCCATAACATTGCAAGAAGAAAATAATAAAACAATTAAAACAATAAACAATTCATTTATGGCGTCCCCCACAATTTTAATATTTATTTTCTTTTTCCTGAAATAGTGGACTGGCCAATTATTTTCTTTTGTTTTATGATCGACAGTGTTATAGTGAGTTAGATATTTAATTATTAAAAAAAGAAAAATCGGTAAAAATTGAATAGACATTATCGTTTATATGCATAATAATTTTTCACCACCGCACTAAAACGCCATCCGATAAGCAGAAGTTTATTAGTTTTTTACTAAAATAATAAAAAAATGTAAAACCGAGACGAGAATCGAGATCCCATTAACATAACTGGAACCTTTGAATAGAAAACTAGTGACACCATATCCAATGAACAAAGAAGTCAGTAGCCCACGGGATTTGAATCAAAGATGATCCAAATCCTAGCTCACGGGCCATGACCATAATGACCATATTTAATTATAATTAAAATGTAGTAATTAATACTTTGAACTCTTATACTAAAAATACTAACCGCCAAATCAGCAACCGATACTTATACTAATATACGAAAGTTCGAGGAGCAAATTAGATTAGATACACCAATAGTTCTAATAACTTGTAGGCAACGTCTAAAATATCGATGATATCGGAAATATCGGTAGTTCAAAAATACGAAAATTTCGATGAAAATATCGGAATATTATTAATATCGATAAAAATTAAATAAAAACCACGGAAATTATAAGAAAAACTTAGAAATTTTTATTGAAACTTTGTAGGATGTTTATTTAGTCAATTATCTATTAGTGTATCACAAAAAATTGGAAGGAAATGCATTGCATGATGGATTTAACCGATTTAAGTTGATTATATAGTGCGCTGACAAACATTGTGAGTGTAGAAAATATATAGTAATTAATGAAATAAGTTTAAACACACCATAATCATTTATATATAATAAATTAGTACAATATTTTACACTTTATACATTGCATGGTTAGATACATGAGTGACTTAGTACCATATAGAGTTCCTATCAAGGTTTAAAATATCAATGATATCGGAAATATCGGTAGTCTAAAAACACGAAAAATTCAATGAAAATATCGGAATAATATCTATATTTTAGACCTTGCTTGTAGGTAGTAGATATTAACGTCGTACTATTAATTATGCAATGGTATAACTAATGTGTTAGGTATCTCACTTGAAGATTGTAATACTTAATTGCATATGTACGCAGAGATAATGTCCGTAAATCTTTAAATGGTGCCACGTGCACATATCAATTAGGCGCCCAAAAACGAATCCGGGTCTTCTTTGTATGTACGTGGGTTCGTGAATCGTGTCCGTTCATTATATATTGGATAGTCAGAAATAATTTTAAAATTATTTATTTAAAATTAAACGAACAAAAACTGAACAGACACAATTAACGAATTCTCAGAATCCTACAAGTAGAATCTAGAAAGAATTCTGATGACTCAAAAACGATTGACATTAACATTTTTTTTAGGATTAAACATAGTTAACGTGTAAAAGCTACATTTATTGCTCTGCTGGG